TGATTTTGAAACTTGTGAATCCATTAGAATCGTTAGAAGACAGAATCGCAATTCATATATAAATAGATTGTTACGTGCACCTCTAGTTTTCTCTTCCTCTTCTCTAAAGCAGCGCAGCATGGCCCCGCCCCCTTTTGCTTCCTTTTCCCGAGGGCGGGGTTTATCTGGGTTTGTGATGTCATGAACCCGGGAAGTAACTCGTTGTAGTCCCTACCAGCCGTTTTTGTAGGCATTAAACTGCCAGAATTTTAAAAGACGATATCTCCGTTTGCTTTGAACTTTCAGCTTCGTAACTTTGCAGATATTGTTTATGCTCAAACAGCAACATTACACACTAACTAACATTAAAAAAGTGAAATCGCAATCAACCACCCCTTTAAACAAAATATATAAAAACGGTCATTTCTGCTAAAGATATGTTGTCATTGGGCTAAAGCTAAAAAATACTAAAATATTATCGACAACATTTTATGAATTCAAATATTTAATAATTTATTTTTTAGTGCTGTCTCATTCTCATTACTGCAAAACAAAATATTTCAAATAATTAAATAAATGTACCTTTATTTTAATTACTTGACTTTGTTCAGTTTTTAACTGAAAAAAAAAAACATTGGAGTGTTTTGTTTCACAGAAAATTAAAAGTACATTATTACAGTGATGAGAAAATATAATAGACATTTTTGCTAATGAGATGAATGTGCTGTCAAGCTAAAAATATTATTTAGAACATTTTATGAATTCAAATAGTTAATTATTTTTAGTGCCTTCTCATTACTGCAAAACAAAATATAAATAATTGCACCTTAATTTGAATTGCCTTCATTTATTCAGAATTTAACTAAAAATATATTTTTGCAGTATTTTCACAAATAATTAAAAATGCATTACAGTATTACAGTAACGAGAAAATATTGTAGACATTTTTGCTAATGAGATGAATATGGTGTCATTGTGCTAAAGCTAAAAAATGTATTAATATGATCAAGAATCAACGAATTCAAATAATTAAAAAGCAATGCTTTGTTTTATTATCAACACTAGATCTATTGTTTTATCATTTCAACTCAACAAACTTTGTTTTGCTTAATGTTTTTTTTATGACACTTCGTATGATATTTAACATATACAATTTTTATGTGACTGTAGCGTAAAAATTTTGGAGATTTCTTCTTTTTTTTTTTTTTTTTGAGGCCACAGTATTTAATCGCTCTTGCTAGGAACAGTCTTTTTGGTCCACTTGAAGAAAGCTACTAGAAAGGTTGTGAGCTGGGTTTAAACTTGTGTCGCCCGCTTGAGCACCACAGCTTAATATGCGCTAACCATTAGGCCACAGATGATTATTTTTCTCTGTCCGACTGTACGGTGAGTGTCATGTCAGGATGCTGCGATGTATTTACTAATGGCAGTGAATGATGTTCTGTGGAGCCGTGTGAGGTCAGCGAGAGCCCATCCATCAGACACAGACACACAGAGCTGGTTCCACATGACACTGCCTGGTTTCGGTTGCCATGACAACGTTTCCTCCTTCCTGTTTATGAGCAGGCTGGTAATCGGAGTCGAGGTTATAGGCCTCCTCCTCCTCCTCCTCCTACCTATTCCTCTGTGTTTCTCTCTCTTTCTATATATTTATATACATTATGTTGCACAAAGAAAATGTGATGTTTTTCGTGAGCATTAAGATCTTTTGCTTAGTCTCATGATTTTTGTGGCAATTAAGTACCTCATCCACAAATTCTCATTAGTGAAAATGTTTTCTCATTACTGTAATACTTCAATCATTTTTTGTATTAAAAATCTTAAAAAATAATAATAATATAATGCAACAAATACTAACACAATGCATTTTGTATTATTATTATATTATTATTATTATTATTACTATTATTATTATTTAATATGTAATATTACAAATATAAATTATAACAAAATTATAAACATTTTTTGTTTATGTATTTTTGTGGTAATTATAATTTTAGATTTTAGAATAATGACAATTCTGGAAGAGTGTATTCAATTATTGTCATTAACTGCAATATATTTTATTATGCAAAAAAATAAAATCTTTAATAGTCCAAAAAGTGAGCTTCATTTAAAAAAATTTTTTTTTTTACTATAATTAATTATATTTTTTCCTTTGATTTTGAGGTATAAATCTGACCTGTCCTGTCCTTATGCTGTGTTTTGCTGCTTGGCAAATGGATGATCTTTACCCGCATCTTTTCTCATGATGTTAATCTTGATCTGGGTTATTCTACCTTTATCACTCTTGACTCCCAGCTAAATCCATCCATTGAGTGCAATAATAATTACCTGATACAGTAATTATGAGAGCTCATGGATCAGATCCTGTCATAAACACCCTTTATTCTGTTTACATCCATGTTCTGATGTTTATCGTCTGCTTTTAACCACTGCTCATAAACTCCCAGCAGGGTCTGTATTGCCAATCACATGCTTAGATGATCACATTAAGACACTTTGAGCAGCGAGATCCTCTCACCAGGCTGCTGGTAAAATGTCATCCGGTTTTGTAGTTTGTAGTACAAAAGAGCAATAATATGCAAGTGCTATGACAAGTCTCGGTTAGCCTACGCAGTACACGGAGCAAGGTTTGTAAAAAAAAATAAAAATAAATAATAATTCATTCATTATGAAATGATTAAAATATATATTATACATTGTTTCGGCTATTTATTATTCCTTGTTTATATATTTCTGTGCTGTTGTTTGTTTGTTTGGTTGTTTAGCTGCAATGAGGTTTTAGTCAAAAAAGTAACCCCTCAAACTGCAGCATACTTCTGATTTTTGTATGTACATTATTTACTATTATTTATTATTTTTTATATTTTATATATATATATTATATAGTGACTAGTGTATATGACTATATATATATATATACACACACTA